GGCCAGCGGGTTTAGCCAATTCCAATTTAGATCACCCACTGAAACGATTTCACCTTTAAGGAGGCCCCCAAAAAGCTCTCTCAGTGCAGATGCAGCTTCAATATCCTTTCCACTAGGTGGTCGATAGCAGCACACTACCAATATCTGTTGATTATTGGGGAGAGTTATTTTGAGAGCCAGACCTTCAAAGCAACATTTTTTAAACAATGAATGAGCTAGTGAACATGCAATAGTATTACAAACATAGATGGCAATTTCACCTCCTTTAGATCCTCGGTCAAGCCGAAAAAGGTTGTAGTTGTCAATTGCAATCTGCAAGTCATTGATGGCAGGAGTGAGAAATGTTTCTGTTAGGCAAAAAATGTCCGGGTCAAGATTTGCCACTTCTAGTTTTAGTTGACTTAATTTAATCACAAGCCCTCTAACGTTGACATGTAGAACACCAACACCTTTCCTGCCAGAAAAATCTACAGAATTATACGAGTTATTTTCATTTGAGCCAGGATGAAGCTCAATACCACCCAGAAATAAGAAAAGTAGAATTAATAGTTTGCACAATAATTTTCTGTGAAAGGATGAAGAGTGGCGAACCTTGGACGAATAGCAGTAGCTTGCAGATGGTGTTATTTTAAAGAGCAGAATGAAGTTTGGAAGGAGTGCTGGTGAAGTAATGGGACAAAGATAGGGTTTAAAAGGATACAATGATGGAGTGTAGAAGTGTCTATGAGCTGTTTCATTAGCAGGTGTAGTGGCAAATGGAGCAACAAGTATGGACGCAAAGTAACGAGGGTAGCTGTTTGTAGAGTTGAGTGTGGCGCTAGATATGGCCGGGAGGGATAGCAGTAGGATACACAGCAGGAGAATTGCCATCTCTAAAATATCCGGGGTAAACACGGATTAACACACAAGTGGAAAAGAAAAAAAATATATACTTGTAGGCCGAGCGCGAGAAAAACGTCTTGCCGCACTCGTCACACATGCACGGCTTCTCGCCCATGTGCTAGGGTTGAACAGCACCCACCGGCCCCCCCCCCCTCCCCAGACAGGGACAGCAGATTTTTGGCTGTTGTGGGCTCGGCTGAACCGCTTGCACCACCTCCTTTCCCCGCCGCAGGATGGTGCTCGAGCTAGCCCTCCTTGAGCTCAGCCCACGACTGGAATGTCGTTTCTTGGCCTCTCGTGTCTCTGCTGCCCGACCAGACGGCCCCACTGAAGCCCACACAGGGGACTCTTCATTCACGACCCTTGGCCGCCTTGACGATCTCCGTGAAGTTTTCCAGGAACATAGCTTGGGGTCCGTGGCAATGTTGCCTTGGCATTTACACAGCTTGGGGTCCATGGCAATGTTGCCTTGGCAGGAACATAGCTTGGGGTCCGTGGCAATGTTTCCTTGGCAGGAACACAGCTTGAGGTCCGTGGCAATGTTTCCTTGGCAGGAACACAGCTTGGGGTCCGTGGCAATGTTGCCTTGGCAGGAACACAGCTTGGGGTCCGTGGCAATGTTGCCTTGGCAGGAACACAGCTTGGGGTCCGTGGCAATGTTGCCTTGGCAGGAACACAGCTTGGGGTCCGTGGCAATGTTGCCTTGGCAGGAACACAGCTTGGGGTCCGTGGCAATGTTGCCTTGGCAGGAACACAGCTTGGAGTCCGTGGCAATGCTGCCTTGGCCGGAACACAGCTTGGAGTCCGTGGCAATGTTGCCTTGGCAGGAACACAGCCTGGGGTCCGTGGCAATGTTGCCTTGGCAGGAACACAGCTTGAAGTCTGTGGCAATGTTGCCTTGGCAGGAACACAGCTTGGAGTCCGTGGCAGTGTTGCCTTGGCAGGAACACAGGTTGGGGTCCACGGCAATGTTGCCTTAGCAGGAACACAGCTTGGAGTCCGTGGCAATGTTGCCTTGGCAGGAACACAGCTTGGGGTCCGTGGCAATGCCGCCTTGGCAGGAACACAGCTTGTGGTCCGTCGCACTATTAACTAGGCCTCACTCAGGCTGCTCCATGGGCACGATCAACCAGGCCTCACTCAGGTTGCGCCAGGTGCACTGTCAACCAGGCGTCACTCAGGCTGCACCTTGTGCACGATCAACCAGGCCTCACTCAGGTTGTGCCAGGTGTACGATCAGCTAGGCCTCACTCAGGCTGCGCCACGTGCACGATTAACTAGGCCTCGCTCAGGCTGCGCCAGGTACATACACGAGCGCACATCACCAACAACAACAACCGCCATTCGCCACTAAGTGGCAGTGACGTCACCACGACGCTTGTGCCAGAACATGTGCACCTTAAGGCCACGTGGAGTGTCGAACGCCCACTGGCAGGAGGTCACGGGGCAGACCCAGATGCCATGGGTCGACTGAGATGAGTGGCTGATGCACCACCTGTGCCCCCTACTGTGCCAACCTGCTGTGCTTTAGCCACCCGGTGCTCCGCTCGTTGTTGTGAGCGTCGCTCCTCCGCCCTCCGTTGTTGTTGGAGGGCGACTACCTCCAACTGCCCAGTAGCGTCCTTCACGAGCCTCCTCCACAGAGGCCGATCTTGACACCGCTGGTACCAGTCATTGGCAAGTCCACTCAGCTCCACGTCCTCCTGTACCACATCACTCCATCTCTTCTCTAGCCCGTGCTGCGCCCGCTTAGCCCCCTCGATCCGGCCGAACAAAAGCTGTTTCGGCATGCGGTGGCTGGGCATGCAGGCTACATGACCCAGCCATCGCAGCCTTGCCCGCCGGAGGAGCTCACCGATGGGACCTTGCCCAGATCTTTCAAGGATTTGTGAACTCCTCACACAATCCAGTCTGGTTAAACCCAGGATGGATCGTAGGCAGGCCAGCCTAAATGTTTCTAACCGGCGAAGATGTTCCATTAGGGGGGTCCACATCACCACACCATCACACACACACACGAGTGTACACCATCACACACACACGAGTGCACATCACCACACCATCACACACACAGAGAGCACATCACCACACCATCACACACACGAACGCAGAAGTCCCTCTCGTCACGGCCACTCTCACACGGCTCACCCTCACACGGCTCACTCACACACACGGCTCACTCACACACTCACACGCAGCTCACACACAGCTCATTCTCACTCAAATTTTCACACACTCACGCACAGTTTACACTCACGCAAAACAACTCACACGCTGCTACACACCCCGCCGCCGCCATCTTGCCCCTACACCATCAATGGCGCAATTTTTCACGTCATTCTGTCAAAATTGTGTCAAATTTCAGCGTGAAGTATTTATGTGCAACTACGTGATTTTAAAAAGTCATGTGCTACAAATGTTGCAGATAACTCCGGGCGCACATTTGGTCGCAATGTAAGGTATTTCTATTTTTCTCACGTGGTATTATCTCCACTTACACAACTCTTGTGTATTTCATTGAGCAGCGTGTCACAATACATCGGAAATGTCCAGCCGGAAGTTTGTACCACGTAAACCACTTGTGCTGCCACTCGACACTTCCCTTACCAAAAACTTGACGGTCGCTCTTCCATGCTGTAAAGCGCTTTGCCGCATTAAACATGGCAACATGTGCGGCCCTGTAATTGCTTGCTCGTACCACTGTTGGTGGAAGCGCCTCCACTCGAGCAAACTCTATTGGGTATTTGACCTGCTCTTCCACGTTGACTAGAAATGTTGAAATACGTTGAGTGTACTTTACTGGACCACATCTGACCCGCCAGTTCTTTCAACTGCCGTGCCTCAACCGAGGACTTCTGGAATCGAACACGAGACCTCTGGATTGTAAAGTCTCATGTGCTGACCATCATACCATGGCACTATGTATTTAAGTTATATGTAGATGCTTGTTCGTGACAAGAATAGTATAGTACAGAGTCAAGCTTAAAAATATATATAGGCATATACACATTTAAAAGCATATGTTTGAAATCACTTTTTTTTTCTCGCAAAGCTTAGGTTTTAAAAGATTATAAAAAAAATACTGTGTTTAGAATTACATGGCGATAATAATCATATTCCAGTTTCAAGACAATTTAAAGTCACGTTTAAATACAATCAACGATGTTGCACAGAGCTGCAATAAGGATTTCCAAAATTCCATGAAAACGTTAGAAGATAACACATACCTTTTGGTAATGTTTGATGTTAGTGGTTTTGAAAAACATAAACAGAAATCTAAAAAGAAAATGAAACAAATGAAAGACATGAACGTGAAACTCATAAACACAATGCATAAAATAAACATACCAGGAAGACATTTCCAACCGCTCAAATCGTAATAATAATAATATTTGTAATAGCAAATAATAGGAATAAGATGGAAAGACGGGAGATTTGGGAACATAAAGCAAAAGCCCTCCAAAAGCGCACAACTATTCACACCTCTGCACGTGAACACTCACTGGGGGGATCAAACGCAGGCAGAGCACATTTTTAGACATTTCCATACAGAACCTAATGGGGCAAAAAAAATGTCAAACGCGTTCACGTGAATGAGTGGGAACAGGCGGAAACCCTGCAGCGTTGGAAAGGAGTGAAATTAAACCCGAGGATGCTCAGAAACATCATCACAGTGAATGGCAACAAGAAGTCATAATTTTTACACGTACACATGTACAGTTGTCCACCACAAGGACATGAATGCAGCATACACGTGTGTGTATATAGACACACACACATGCGTGTATGCATATAGTAGGCAACGAGGAGACGAACCTTTTGATTTGTTAAGTTCGGCAAAAAACATTTGCGCTAAGTTGCGGTAAGCTATGGACGCGCACAAAAAGCGGATCCCTGTCCAAAATCGGTAAAAAAAATAGCATGTTCATGCAAAGGTGGGGGCACATCCGACTCAAAAACACATTTGTTAAGTCTATTTGAGTATTTACAGTGACATTTGCGCACATGCTGTGCCTATTTAGGAGGTAGGTACTGGCACCGTGATGGAAGGGGGGGGGGGCTGATCTTTAATGGACCTTCCGAATGTCATGCAGCTGGCAGAATGCGCCTGCAATTACCTTCTTTTGCGATTGAGTCATAGAACTTCTCATTGGCGGCGGTCCCTCGGATTTCTGTAACGATGACACATGGCAAAGCTAAAGGTTCTCAAAGGGCACGTGCGCTCCCGGCACGTAACACAGCTTGGCCCGAGGCCACGTTCACGGCTGCGGTTGTGCATCGAGGGTCGGCACAGTATTAACCCCCCGTCTTTGCGTGCGTAGCACGGTTGGCTACGTACGGGTGCGAAAGAAGTTCAACATACATGCATACAGACGTAATCCTAAAGCTTTGTCGAACAGACAGACAGACAGGGAAACGCACAGACAAAGGGTGACCGAATGCATGGATGGGGTGAAGCGTGACAGACACATAGAACACAAGTCCTCTGTTGGCTGAAGCACCTAAAAAAAAAAGTAATGACATGTCAACGTGGCAACTTGCGTAGTTTTTATACTTCGGTACACACTGCTAATTTTTAACACACGAGCTTCTTTGTCGGCTTGCACTCTTGAACCTGCGTATTTTGTGCTTGCGGGGGGATTTGAGAAGCGAGAACACACACACACGACGTGCGTCCGGTCTGTGTGTTTTTGTGTGTGTGTGTCTAGCCACTCCGTGAAGTTAGCCCGGCACGGCCACGGACGCTCTGAGGGCGAAGTGTGTGCGAGCTGTCGTCGTGGCCCGCTTGGGCACCTCACCATCGCCCAGAGGGTCCAGCGTGTACATCATGAGCTGGAAGAGGCTGTTCCTCATCATCTTGCTGTAGCGCACCGTGTTTGCCTCGTCGCTGCGCTTCTTTCGGCTCTTCCCCTGCTGCACATCCACACACAACGCGCGCGCACGTCATTCAGAATGAAGTCAGTCGTCTGTTTGCTAACATAAAGATGCAAGCCCTGCCTCTGCTGGCAGAAGGCCCTCCATGAAGAGGGAGCTCTGGAGAGCTGCTCTCTAGAGTGTATTTGGTCTACTCTTCCACGCTGGCCAGACATCCTGGAAGAGATGGGAGTATCCACCACGCTGTAACCTCACAACACGTGACCTGCAGATCGACTGACTGTGGTCCACCCATTTCTACTGCTGGGTACGACAGAGAGTTTAATGGTAATGCATTATTGTTTAACGGTAAATCAGAATTAGGGTTCATCCACTGCTGTATGAAGGCCTCCTCCAATGCTGTGTGAGTAGTCATGGGGGTTGTGTTGACCATACTTCACCATGCTGGTCAGTGCAGGATGGTAAAGGGAGGTGCTCAGGACCGGTTCAGATATCGCCACTGATGTTAGCCATGGCTGGGAATCCAACTCGGGTTCGAGCGAGTTCATAGCACAGTGCTTGTGTCGCTGCACAACTGTTCTACTCCCCACATTGATGAATCATAATAATACTGAAGACAAAAGCAACACCTCAAAACAGATATGGCTAATTAAACAAATGTTGGGTTACCAAATGTTTTTGGAAACAATATTCCATCTAAACTATGGGGCCCTGTTCAGCTCAAAAAGCAATTTTATAAACACTCGCTGTGAGTGGCTTTGGAGCATTATAGGTAAATTCATATATCAGCAAGCAAACTCTGGGCCTGTTTTAACCGTCTGGGTCTCATCAGCAGAGCCAGGATTGTTAAATGTATATAGATGGATAATTTTAGTCTAGAAAGCCAAGAGGACGATGGACTGAAGACATGTTTTATTTACATACAGTGAGGGAAAAAAAGTATTTGATCCCCTGCTGATTTTGTACGTTTGCCCACTGACAAAGAAATGATCAGTCTATAATTTTAATGGTAGGTTTATTTGAACAGTGAGAGACAGAATAACAACAACAAAATCCAGAAAAACGCATGTCAAAAATGTTATAAATTGATTTGCATTTTAATGAGGGAAATAAGTATTTGACCCCTCTGCAAAACATGACTCAGTGCTTGGTGGCAAAACCCTTGTTGGCAATCACAGAGGTCAGACGTTTCTTGTAATTGGCCACCAGGTTTGCACACATCTCAGGAGGAATTTTGTCCCACTCCTCTTTGCAGATCTTCTCCAAGTCATTAAGGTTCCGAGGCTGACGTTTGGCAACTCGAACCTTCAGCTCCTTCCACAAATTTTCTATGGGATTAAGGTCTGGAGACTGGCTAGGCCACTCCAGGACCTTAATGTGCTTCTTCTTGAGCCACTCCTTTGTTGCCTTGGCCGTGTGTTTTGGGTCATTGTCATGCTGGAATACCCATCCACGACTCAATTTCAATGCCCTGGCTGAGGGAAGGAGGTTCTCACCCAAGATTTGACAGTACATGGCCCTGTCCATCGTCCCTTTGATGCGGTGAAGTTGCCCTGTCCCCTTAGCAGAAAAACACCCCCAAAGCATAATGTTTCCACCTCCATGTTTGACGGTGGGGATGGTGTTCTTGGGGTCATAGGCAGCATTCCTCCTCCTCCTCCAAACACGGCGAGTTGAGTTGATGCCAAAGAGCTCCATTTTGGTCTCATCTTACCACAACATTTTCACCCAGTTGTCCTCTGAATCATTCAGATGTTCATTGGCAAACTTCAGACGGGCATGTATATGTGCTTTCTTGAGCAGGGGGACCTTGCGGGCGCTGCAGGATTTCAGTCCTTCACGGCGTAGTGTGTTACCAATTGTTTTCTTGGTGACTATGGTCCCAGTTGCCTTGAGATCATTGACAAGATCCTCCCGTGTAGTTCTGGGCTGATTCCTCACCGTTCTCATGATCATTGCAACTCCACGAGGTGAGATCTTGCATGGAGCCCCAGGCCGAGGGAGATTGACAGTTCTTTTGTGTTTCTTCCATTTGCGAATAATCGCACTGTTGTCACCTTCTCACCAAGCTGCTTGGCAATGGTCTTGTAGCCCATTACAGCCTTGTGTAGGTCTACAATCTTGTCCCTGACATCCTTGGAGAGCTCTTTGGTCTTGACCATGGTGGAGAGTTTGGAATCTGATTGATTGATTGCTTCTGTGGACAGGTGCCTTTTATACAGGTAACAAGCTGAGATTAGGAGCACTCCCTTTAAGAGTGTGCTCCTAATCTCAGCTCGTTATCTGTATAAAAGACACCTGGGAGCCAGAAATCATTCTGATTGAGAGGGGGTCAAATACTTATTTCCCTCATTTAAATGCAAATCAATTTATAACATTTTTGACATGCGTTTTTCTGCATTTTGTTGTTGTTATTCTGTCTCTCACTGTTCAAATAAACCTATCATTCAAATTATAGATTGATCATTTCTTGGTCAGTGGGCAAACGTACAAAATCAGTAGGGGATCAAATACTTTTTTCCCTCACTGTATATGTGGAGACTGAGAATTGAGTTTTGCTTATATATGCTTTTGACCATAATGCTCCACAGTAACTCGCAGCAAGCATTGAGCTCTAGGGTAGGTACATTGCGCAGAGGCAAGTGCATGTATCTCTGAGTGACTTCGCAATGGGAAGTCTTTTTGAGCCACACACACAGTAATACCCTTCGGATATTGCCAGAGTGCTCCTTCTTTCCCGAGAGTGGTCATTAACGACCATCTTATAATCTTCCACATGTATAAATCTTTGAGAGACCCATAAATATGCCATATTTTAAAATAACAAAATCTTTCGAAATGAAAGACATCCCCACGGGGAGGCTGGACATTTAGCAGAGCATAACTACTTTCAAACTGAGACTAAACAAATTGTTTTTGGGTTCCCTAAAGAGTGATGTTTTGGTGAGGATATGCCCAAGCTTTACCATAATTCTACTGCAGCCGCAAGACTATGTGGCTGCCTTACCAGCCACTCTGTTAATTACATTGCAAGTGAATATCCGTGCCCATGATTTAATTCAGTAATAATGGGCTTCCGGTTTATTTCCTACTTACCCACATTTAAGTTGGCAAGGTTTATTTAGTTCGGCTATAAATCGTTTGGGGTATAAATCAATTGAGCGACGCTTATTGCAAAAATCAAACACCTGGTGGGGTTCAACTTGTATATTCACGAGGCGGGGAGAGCGGCAGCCAGGCCAACCACCACCCCACGTTTCAAATAAGAGACGGTGGCTGTTTTTTTGTGTGACCCCGAGCCATTCCTAAACTATAACAACGACAGTCGCACACAGCAGTGGCGTTAGGCGTTACCAGAATAAAGAAAAAAATCTAAAGGGACTAATCAGCTCCAAGTGACCCTGTATTCATGAAAGATTTGGGGTGCACCAAATGTCAGCTCAAATTTCAGTTTCCCATAGACATGAAAAGCCAATACAGAAACAAATGCTGCCACAATTTTGCCCATATTTGATGATAGTGACACCATCTACCGCCTAGCATCTTAACCTTAAAACGTCTCGTTCCATTGTACCACTCCACTCTTCGTTTTTCCCTTGACGTTGCCCCCCATAGAACTCATCGTTACAACTGGTACACTAACTCAAATCTGTCGCCCATGGATATCCAGAGGGACCGTCACTTGGCTGTCTTCATCCTAAAGGTTCTCTTAAACAAATCTGCCAATTACCTAAAGGCCCACTTAGTTCCTCTAACGCCCTCGCATAGCCTCAGAAATGCCTCCTCATTCCCACTAAAAATCCCATTTGCTAAAACTTAGTTTGGTTAAAAAAAAAAAAACATTTCTGCATTGCTGCTCCACGTTTCTGTAACACCTTAAGGGCCACTCATCTGCAGCTTGGTTACCTCTCCCACCCCCCCATCTTATTTCCTATTAAACCAAAACAAAGAGCTTACTTGCACCTGTACCTCACTTATTCTGGCGCCTCTTGCGCTTATTACATTCGCACTGGCTTTTGACTCGCGTGCGTTTTGTTTACGACCTTTAAATACCTCCTTTCTTGTGCCATATCCCTCAAGGACTTTGTAATCGTTCTCTGCAATATTGACCTTTTTGTCTTGTTGCTGCTGCTGCTGTGCTCACAACACCACGGGTCTGCCATGTAAAAGTTCCAGAAAACTGGCTAAATGGGATCATCTGCGTAACAAATAAAATCAACTCAATATCACTTCTGTCTTCTCACTCGGAACTATAAGTAGAAAGGTGGTGGCTTTGCTTGGACCTCCAGCGTGTACGCATGGGTGGAGTTTGGGGGGGGGTCGTCCCTGAGGGGAAGGGGGGCAATGCCCCCCACCAACCGGGCGCATTTATTAATTTATTTTCAACAGTTTACAATAAAGATTACAAATTAATTAATTTATTATATGCACCCGTAATTCCTAATGTGAGGGACAAAGCGAACCCCTGCCCCTCCCCCAAATATAGTGGTCATTATCGGTGGCGGAGCCAGGATTTTCAGGTGGGGGGGGGGGGGCAAACCCTCCAGCAATGAAAAATGATAGAGGAGTTGTTAGTAGTAAGGACTTGTCCCTTGCTTTTTATTCGACGCGTGTGCGGCGATGGCGCAGCCATCGATCGAGGGTCGAATTCGAACCACGTGTGATTGGCATCACGCTCGCTGAAAGTGAATGTCTTCAGGGAAGTCGTGGACTGTATACGCAACTGCGCACAATTCTGAGTCACTTATAACTGCTTTGCCGTTACTTATTGCCAATTATGGACTCAGACTATTGTCCTATCATCTCATAGCGTCCCTGGCACGTAATAATATGCTACACAGTGGCAGTGGGGGTCGCAAAATGGCGATTTATCACTAATAAACCCCAATGATCCGATCTAAATTAGGGATTTCGAACGGATCATTGGGGGGGCACGTGCCACCCCACCCCCACTGGCTCCGCAAGTGGTCATTATCCGCCTACGTACAATTTCAGTGTTAAACGGTCACTCTTATTTGTTATGCACAGATTAATTAAAATAATTTACCCATGGAGGGACCTTGAAAACACCAGTGACCATCTCTCACCTTGTAAAAGCCACGTGTATTTACTAAATTATATCGCTGCCACTCGTTATGCAGGAAGTTCAAATATTTACCCGTAAAAGTCCAACTGAGCAGTAGAGATTTCGTTTTTATCTCGTAAGGTTCTGCTTGAGTTTTATGACCAAATGTTTTTTGAGTGTTTTAGAATTAATGAGCTAATCTAGCTCAGGGGACAGTTACGAGCAAAAGGAGTGATGATTGGCTGTGAGCAGCCAATAATAGGTACTGCATATTATCTGCTTATTCTCAGATCAATGTACACACATTATGTATGTTGATTAACTGTGAATAACCCAACCAATAATAGATACCGCATATTCTCAGATTAACATGATCTGGCATTTGCACCTGATATGTTTACGTGATGATATCACCTTTACTCTGTTTAAGACCGAAACAGGAAGACTTCTTCACAATTATGGCTATCGCCTGATGAAGCTGGTTGTAATCACCAGTGAAACGGCACACTCAAATTGTAAATGTGCTGACGTAGTAACAAATTGGCACATTTTGTTTACGTGACAAACCTTAATCATTGGCTGTGTCGGGTGGTGGTGGGTTTAACGACACATTTAGCTTTATGTGATCTAACCCAAAAAAAACATTTATTATGGATATTGGTTACGAAAGCCTGCGTGTTAAACTGAGTGATTGTGTAACGATTGCTCACCATCCTGCCTTAGTATAATGCTACGAATGACTCGGAAGGCAATTTTTTAAAAGGCGCCATTAAAAGTTCAGGCATACAGAATGTCGACTGCTTTAACTGCCGCGTAGAATTATAGAAACGGCATGTTCAGCATTTTTCATGATTTGTTTGGGTAAATATAATTGCAAGCACCGAGTGCAAGGTCGTTTCTTTTTTTGGGGTGGTGGTGATGCACTCACAGTATCATGAGACCGCACCCAATCACCTTTACTCTTCCAGGGCTGTTGGTGTCACTGTGTGCGTCTCAGGCTCAGTTGAGTGACATCTCCCGACGTCCACAATGGGTACCAAGTTAATTTTAAATTGCGATGTTGATGTTCAGGTTCACCACGATGACATTAAAGTACGGCGCACAAGATCCTCAAGGGCAAATATTAACTCGCTTCACATGTGGGCGTATTTACAAATATCCCACAGATTTAAAAAAGGACCCCTACAAAACACAGGAGCTGTTACCGTAGTTACAGATTCTTGTTCGTTCCACAGGCTCGTGATGGACGCCTCACCTTGAGACGAGTGGTGTCTGTGGGCTCGGAAAGAGGGTCCGATGAGCAGCCACTGGCCTGTTAGCATGGACCACAAACACCCACGTGCATGCAGGCACACACGCACACGCGCATGCCAAAGCACACACGCATACTTTTATTGCGCCATTAATCACTCTATTAAAAAAAGGATTAATATGAAACCACGCACACATGAGTGGATAACAAGATGCTCTGTGGTTGGTAGAGGTCCTGGGTTTTGCTTCATCTGAGAAATCTCCCCATGATGTCTGCCAATATATTTCCGTACTTCAGTGCCTCTGTGCATACAACTGATAGCTGGACAACCCCAAAAACAAATTTTCATTTAATGCTGCTCAATGACTGCTGCTTAAAATGCTAATCCGTGTCATATTATTGTGTTGTTTCGGCGGGAGTAAACATTGTAAAGTACCTTAAAAAGCACAATGGAATGTTCGTAACCAGTATGGGGGCTTGGGCAGGGCATATCGCGAAAAAGTTGATGGCCGATGGGCAAGACTGGTGACAGAATAACAGCCAAAGGAGGGAGCGTGCCCAAAAGGATTACTGCCTCAGAGATGGAGATCAGCTTACACGCAGGAGTGAGATGGATTGTAGCATTGCAGGACTTTAAGGTATGGCGACGGTGTGGGGAGACCTTTATTCAGTGGCTGCTGATGATAATGATGACGAAGTATAGTGCAAGACAATATGAGCCGGTGATTTGAAAACCATAGCTTTCAGAATATGGAGAATTTGCAATAAATTCACCCAAAGTTTATTTTTTAATGAAACATCACACCACAGCGACCAAACAGTTTCCCCAACTTTTAAGCGACCAAAAAAATCCTCCACAACTCACTCTGTGCACACTCAACGACAAAAAAAAATCCCCCGCATAAATTTAACAGGCTATTGGGGCAAGTGCTGTTAGCAAGCACATCTGAAGGCCGACACAGCACTACACCCGGACGCCTTTGTCTCCCTCGTGGCAATGTTTACACATCGCACCAGGCACTCATTTGAGGCGTAGTTGTTCTAGGGGAGGCCCAACACATGTTCAGATAATCGTCACTGGTGTTGGTGGTCTTAGGCGGGAATCGAACTCGGGTCGCTGGGTTCATAACGCAGTGCGCTCGCCACTGCAATATCGCTCCCATATGCACAGGCAAGCGCGCCGACACACACACACGAAGAATATGACGTTTGTAAACTGAACTGAGTAAGAGGTATTGAGCTAAAATTGAGTTTGTGGAATTGGGGCCTGAGAATGATGAGGGCTTAAAAAAATATCGCATGTTCGAATGTATTGACTCACCCTTAGACCGAGTAATCCATTTTGAAGACAGTCAAATAATATTAGCATGTAATATCACTTAAACCCAGTCTCAACCCACTCAGGACTATAATTAGTTTTATACAAGGTAATATATAAATCGCTAAAGAATGTTACATGAGGTTAAATAAATAAATAACAAAACTAATAAACGTAAAGAGAGAAATTATAAATGTATTATGTCTTGCTGATTAAATGGAAATTGGTGGGTGTGGGTGGGGGGGAAAGGGTGTGGAAGACATGTAATGCTTTATTCCTCTTCACTATTTATGACAGAAAAGGCTACGATGATTGGCAAGATGAAAGCTGGTTTAAAGGAATGTTTGGTGTCTCTTGCAAGCAAAAACATTGCCCTCCAGGGCTAGTCAACCCGACCTCGCACAACAGCGAGCGGCACACAGTGGTTTACGCACAGTCGAGCAAAACGTTCTGCGTTTAAGTGCAAGAGAGATGGCCATTCCTAAAGTCCCCGAGTGAGGAAGGCACACTTGTGCAGTGGGCAGTGCCAGTCGTGGCAGTAAATGCGTCGCGGTACACATCGTGCTCGCCATTTCGTGTTTTGGAGATTGCGCCTAAAAATTGAATTTTGGGCTCGCAATTATGTAACTACGACTATGATACTCTATCTTTCCCCAGGTAAGGTCCACTGAGCTATGTAGTTCTTTTTCAAGTGGCGATCTGGCCACAAATGATAGCTCAACGAAGTGGCTTATCATGTAGAAATGTACAGCAGCGCAAATACTCGAAACGCACGGTGATTCTAAATGTGAAGGAACAAAAGCAGCGGAACACGCGACCACGGGGAGAGAGAGAGACGCAAACTCCAAATATACAGGAGGCATCCTCAGGGTAACGATTGAACCTACGACCTCCTGTATACCAGGCGAGGTAGTTAACTACTGCTGCCCACATGCCCCTCACCCCATCCCCGCCAGCGTTTTGATGAATTTTCACGATCACGGTGGCAATTTAATTGAACCGCCTAACATTGGGGGAAGGGCTGAAGGGGGGTGCTGTAAGTTCGGACCCCTTCCCCCCTCTTTCCAAACTCTTATCGTCAAGGGTTCAGTTTGTTTAATGTTGTGTCCCCTCCCCCGCTGCTGAGTTTTTTTATGAACCCCAACTCTCAAAAGGTCACCGCAGGGTTGAATTCGCTTAAGATGTAATTCTGTTTCGTCTATAACAGTG